GAAAATTAATTTCATAGTTAGAAATTATGTTATCCATTAATGTTATCATCATTGCGCAATTACTACAGAATAATCATACATCGTATTTTGATAATATAGACGACGTTTTGGAATATACGCGACAAAATAATGAAACATCTAATTCAAGTTAATTGTAATTACAATGGAATAATAAATTTATTTTTGCTCGTGCTGTTTTCTTGAAATTAAATATATTTTTATTATACTATAATTTAACACGTCTATCGATATTCGCACAGAGGTTCTTAAGATTAAAATCGAACTTATCTTCTACGGGAAGTCAATGCTTCGTCAAATAACGTAACGTAAATAAAGACATAAGTTGTAGAAAAAAAAGAAAAACTTTAATCTTTATTTATCATTCTCTTCTGTATCATTTTTATGTACTTATCTACGCCACGTGTAATAGTGGGGATCATGCAACTATGTACAACGTAAAAATATTCCTTGGCAAACGTGACGGCAATTTTGTAATACACGAGAGGAGGCAGAATTTTTGTTCTAACGACGAAATAATATTCTATACACGTTACATTTCATTGTTAAAATGCATATTACGACCCAAATATTTCAGCATACGAGACAATTGGATAACATTTTCAATGCGATACGAGATACCGCGTAAAAAGAAATTTCACATTTTTTTTTTTTGTTTTCCTGCAGAAATTATAAAAATAATGAATCGAAACGAAAATACGGCCGACGAACGAATGAAACTTTTTTTTTTAAACGCGTTTAATGATGAACCAATTTCAGGTTTTAATGAACTCCAAGTGCCTCTAACAATAAAAGCTTCCCTCGCCCTTTAATTAACCGTATCGGGTTTGCAACAATGGAACGAAATCATTGGACGTAATGATCGCTACGTTTCTCAATTATTATACGAATTACAATGCATCGGCGAAGACATTGTCCCTTAACGAACGCGAATAATTTTTATCTTTTACCATTTTTTTAATTGATTGTTCCACTAATGATTACTCGAGCATTTTCAACCAGATAAAACGGACTGTTAAACGCCAGCTTATCCGTGAAATTTGTTACCCGAAACTTTATTCGAGAAAATGATTCGAATGTTAAACTCTCTGTACATAAAATATGGATGATCTTGTATTAATTAGAACTCGAAACTATTATTACATTTCCCCCGTTAAATTAGCGAAATAGCGCAATCAACAGCTATTCAAACGAAATGGCAAGTTCGCAATCACATCGCTATACACCAGTTCTGCCCAATTTTCAAAACTTTTCCTATAATGTTATATTAAATTATTTCCATCGAAATGCTTTATGGAAAAAATGTCTCGATTTGAATAACTTCAACTTCCTATTGTGCGTAATTTTATATCTCTAAACACGTACACGTTTTATTCATCGATCAATTAAAATGTTAATCAACATTCGATTCAGGAATCAAATCTACTTTAAATTTACCTCGCATCAATCACAGCGTTAAAAATCTCGATCCTTTCCATCCCGCAGCATTATCCGGCACAATTTGCTCGAATTGTCCCTAATTGCTCGAAAATTTCAATAATTCCATCGTTGCATCGCTCGAACCACGACTCGAATCAAGTTATATATCGTGCTCGTCACGGTCGTTCTCATTTACTTGTATTTGGGTCATATAGCTACGCTCGTTTCGCCGCGAATTCCGTCTCTCCTTCGTTCGGATCGCGCAACAGGAATATCAAGAAGGGCCGCGTAGCGTGGACGCGTAGCCAACCCACGTGCATAGCAATGCACGGCACAATTTCGTGCATCAGTCCCCCCTCCTCCCCTTGATGCACGAAACTCGAACAACAGGTGTGCAATTCGCGTCGATATCTACGGCCACGTTCGCCAAGGAAACTGGGTTAGAAAAATCCATCCTCGAGACTCGGCGGTGATCGGTGATATACATCGAACGAGAGTCGAGGCGGTGAACTTGAAAGCGAGAAACGATACCGACACGCCGATTCGAGGCTGCGGCGAGACTTTTCGAATGCTAATTGGCCGACATTGATATTCACGGTGGCAGGATTTCGAATCGGTGGATTGTGGTGGGAAATAAAGCGTTGCTTTGTGGGGGGATGCGCGATGAATAATGTAAATTTTCAAATTTGCAATTGTTTCGACCGAGTGTTATTGATTGGTTTGTTTTTATCTTTTCTCGAGAGCTAAACTTTTGAATGGGAATGCAGAGAATTTAATATTAACGAACGAATTGATGTTAAAATAATTTTTTTCAAGTATTAAACGTTGATATTGATCGTTGAGCAAGATGAGAGAGTCATGATTTTAATTTAAATTATTTTTGCAAGAACTATAGGTGATTCGAATTACGGATAATTACAGAAATGAATGATTCTTCGGACGATTATAGCGAAACAAATTGTAATCGATAACAAGTTAATGTCGATAATACAAGGCCAATGAATTCTATGATCAAACTGTTGGGAGGAAGACAAGCGTGGACAAATGATGGGAGGAAAACGGCGATTATTAATTGCGAATTTCCAATCTTGTTCCATGCAAGACCAGTCGAAAACAATGACCATTAAAAAATTCATTGTACGCTCGAATCAGCGTGACGGTACTATAATTGAAGTAATTGGAGCGACGCGATGTTGACTCGCATCAACAGACGTTTGACCATCCGTAACTCTGACAGATCGACGACTATTTCTCTATATTCATATCTCTTTTTATTTTTTTCGAATTCGCCGCCGCGACGCTGTCTCGAGGATCGCCGATTCCATGTCCTGGAGTCTCGATTATGTATCGAGACGTCTTGACCGTGGGACGAACGACAACCCACGTTGCCTCTCATGATTTATAGACAATAAAAAATATGAATCCCCTCGTCCGTGTATCATAAACGCTTCAATAATGATCGGTCGCGTAGGTAGAAAACTATTCAGTTTCAAATTTTATTCGCGATGATACGAAAGATTCAAATTTCGCGATGAAAAATATATTTCCGAATTATATTAAATTCTATTGCAATTTCAATGTGTTGATTTTTCATTTTCTCAAATTGTTCTATTACCTTAACATACATTGTTAAAACTTTTTGGGAATAATTATTTTTAGGAATAAAAGATACCAAAAAATTGAATTTTTATTTCAATGAAATATTTCTCTATATAACAGATATTAATTAATTATAATTTATTCGTATAGAATTTTGGTTCAATTTGTAATTTTCAGAATTGTTAATTGAACCGCGATTTATAATGTTAAAATTGTAATATATAATACAAATGGCTTTAAATAGTTTAAAATATCTTTTTAATGGATTTATGATTTTATTGGGATTGGAATTTTATAGAGAAAATAAAAGTAGGTATTCAAATTTAAAAGAAAAATTTATAAAATAAATAATTTCATAAAGTTCACGTATTCGTTATTTCATTTTCATTGAAATTTTATTCAAGCAATTCAGTTGATGAGTTTAAACAAATACTCGTTAAATGCCACGAATTATTATTTGTAAAATTGGAAAATCAAGAGCCATTAGGATTCTAAAACGTTCTAATTAGAATTGCGCGCGCTTATTTAATTAAATATGGCTGCCGCAGCTCAGCAACAATAAATATAATTAAACGTATTGAGGATTCGATTGAAAATAGAATACCGATCGATTAATTTTATCGAATCGAAATGATTTTATTTATGAATTCGTATCAATATTTAAATTTAGATCGTAACAAAATTCAGATTACATATTTGACAACGAAAATTGTCTATATATGTGTATATGTGTGTGTTATTTCAAAATATAATTTGTCACTCGTCCCACGGTCGCCATATATTTTATACAATACAAGTCCAACGTTTCTACATGTATTCACGCAAATTGCGATTTAACCAAGACGAGAAAGAAACACCTGTTCTTTTATCTAACTTTCAATAACATTTATCGGAAGATTCAGCTTTAGCAAAATATGTTTATGTTTTTTTCTCGTTTTTATATCTCGACGCGACATATTAAACGAAACGGAAACACTTGTCTACGTTTCTAACTACCTCGTTCGTAGCTACGCAAGAAACGTTGGACGTGTCTTGTAATTACATGCAAACGAATAAAATATCATTGACTCACTTGACGTTTCCTCCTGTTCCGGAATCGTAGAAGCCACGCCACGCTTCGTGGTAATCCAATGAACACTCAAAATAATAACTAATGTTTCACGAAACAATAACACGACTTTTCACAAAGCAAAAGAAAAAGTAACGTTGTGCACTCGATACGTTTATCGACGCAACTACGAATTCGAAAACGCGGGAATGGCGTGAATTTAGCAATCAAACTACGTTTTTAAAATTGCAAATGAATCGACGTTTCGATGTAAGAACCGCGAAGAGACGCGGTAACGCGTCTTCCAAAACGCTCCTCGGCGATGACATTAATGTTTATTTACACCGTTCACTCACTCACGGCTTCGAATAAACGAGAGAAACCACCAAACCGAAACGCGACACACACGATCTACTCCATAAGAGTGCTCGCGGCAGACTGACAAGTGACAATCGTAAGCCGGCGCAGCCCCACGCGCCACGCTATCCCTACTCAAGCGCGTACACAATTCACGCATGTCTATTATACCTGCCGTATATTCCTTCCTCTCGTGTCTTCAATTACTCGAGAATTTCAAGAATCGAGTACTTCATTTTCTAATAGTTTTCACTTTCTGAAATAATTTATCTGTAACACGATTGTCAGCCCGCCATACTGCTACGAACTAGACATTTGCGCCATCAGACGACAAGTTGTGGTAACTACACGACAGTTACTCGAAAAAATATCGAATGAATATATCGAAGTTAAAAAATAATATTTGTATTATTTTTTATTTTGCTATTATGTTAATTTTTTTTAATTAATAATAGGAAGTTTTATTTTGATTTTTAAATATTTTTATTATGTAATTTTTATGAAATTCCGAAATTTCTAATAATAAAATATATCGATAACTTGCAATTCATTTATCGATAAATATCGATGTTTTAATATGGCGTGAGAAGTAGAACGTATTCGTGAACGTGCAAGCATTTATTTTTTAATCAATATAATAAATTTGTGAAACATAGAGAAGTGATAAAGTGATTTAAAGATGTGTTTAAATTTCAAAAGTGTAATTATTTGTAATATATATTATACGTTCTATTTTCATATATAAAAATTATTTTATGTAAATTTATTCTACGTTACATCGCAATAAGAACAGCTATCCTGTCAAGGATAAATGTATAGTAAGTATACTAGTAATAGTGAAAATGAGTTTATTAATATAGAATTGTCAAGGTAGACTGAGTTTAGTAAAAAATTCAAATATATGCGCATAATAGATCTTAGAGTAGATAATAAATATGTAACTTTGATATCTTCACTTATACAAGTACATATTTTGTATCAAATTTCTTACATATGATACGATGTACAAATGAAAAATAATTATGTATTGTTTTTTATAATATTGAATATATTATGCCATTTATATTCAATTTTCAAAAGATAACGATAAAATCAAATACTTCTATATATATAACAGATAACAGAATATGTAGATATTGTTGCATCCCATGATACTAGCCTGCATTATAACTGAGTTATAAGATTATTCTCTTCTTTAACTGCAGAAGTGCAATTCAGTGGTCGGTATAGAAGTTTTCTGCTAAAGCAACGACCGTTGGAACAGAATCGATTTCACCCTTTCTCTGAAGATGGCAATAACTCCCACAATCCTATGAATATTAATACTGGATAAAACTATGGCCAATTTCAATGATCGATTAATGGGCAAACTTCGTCTAATTGTTGGAACGCTAATTAAAATCAAGAACAAGAAGTTGGAACCAAATTAGGTATGTGTCTTTAAGTTTGAGAGAATGTCGTGTGCATATTCTCAACTAGATAGAAGAAATGGAATATTAGTTTTAGAATATTGAAATTAGTATTTAATTATTAAGAATGGCGATATCGAAACGATATAATAGTATCGAAAAGAACTTTCAAGTAAATGAAATTTTGAAAATGTCATTTTAACATCGTGAAGTTGTATATTATAAAATATAAAGAAATCATTTTAATATGTAATATCTAACAATAACAATTACATGTATCGTATCAAAAGTAAAAATATCTCTAGAAATTCTAATCTCCATATAAATGAATATCTAAAGAATATTCGAAATAATCGTGTTTATCTTAATTGTTTTTCATCTGTGAAATTCAGTTTAGATAAAATTTCATAGTATTCCTATTCGTTAGTGTACTAACATTCCTACTGTTAGTTTGAAATAAATTTAAACGATACATTCTGTGGGATTGCCAGTCGAGGTGATATTGTCTTAGTAAGTCTTTCGATGGCAAGCAACACACCGGGGAGTGCACTTCCTACGAAATTCGATACGGAGAGCAAACTCGATTTAAGCTTTGGTCTCTTGACTCCTACGTCTTCAACTATTGCAACCAAGTGACTCGCGTGTGCTCTTATTTACAGGAAAGATGGAACCGTGTGTCCCCAGCGTGTGTCGCCAACCACTATAAACTTCAGAAGGCTGCAATTACTTCACTTTGCACTTTTTCAACCAACATCGTTTAAAGTGAAACCATGCTGCGTGGCTCTGTCTTTTAAGGTACTGTTCTTTCAAAATATTAATTTAAAAATTAGTGTTAATAAAGCATAATAATATTATGAGGCTAAGAGAGTATTATGAGAAAAAGTTTCCTTGTTATATCACAATAGAAATAATTCTTCATTAGACAAATGCTATATATTTATATTTATATTGCATTTTATATCTAATATATAATATAATTTTAACCGTTATTCTGTAATTATTGAAAAATATAATGAAATTTTTCATATAAAAGTTATTTTATTTGACGGGAGAAACTTGATAGAAATTTGAAATTGTTTTCATCACTTTTTTAATAATTTCAATATAAACGTATTTGTTTTAATGGAGTTATATATTTCCATTATTGCTAACTTATTTTACACTTCAACGTGCGTTCAATAATATACGTGAAGTGTAATTTTGCAAAATAATTTATTAAATAGCTTTATAAATATTAATATGGATAATATTTACTACATTATATATCATAGTGTAAAAATAGTGGAATGAGATATTTTTTGAAAAGAATTCAGTATTCAATATATTATTATAATTTATAATTAAATGCTAATAATATATATATATATATATATATATATATATATATATAAATAATATAATT